CTTTTATAAATTATCCTTTTTTAATAAATAACTGAGAATACTCACCATATTGAGTTATTAATTCGTAAGAAATACACAAGTTATTTTTCATAGCGGGAATATACACATTAATTCAAAATAAAAGGTAAAAATATGAATTACTTGTATTTTGGAGGAAAATTTATTTTCTTAAAAAATTAATGAAAATATTAATTAGAGAGTATAAGTAAGAGAAATTTGGGATAAAAAGATAATTTTAAAGTTAAAGTAATATATATATATATAATCTTTAGATGCTGATAATGAAATTTGGAGAGAGAAAAAAAGCAACGTGAATACTCAGTCACTTTTTTAAATAAAAACAATAATATATACTCATTATATAAGTGCACATTACAATTCAAAAAATATAAGTGCACTAGAAATTGATATAAAAATATAGTGTTAAGCCAAAGAGAAAATAATCACATAGCGAAATATATACCTCACCACCATATATAGGAGAGTATGTTAGTTCTTTAACAATGGAATTTCAAGTTTTGCAATAGTAAGTGTTTCCTACAGCTCAAATCATATAGCGAGAGTTTAAAATAGGTGAAAAATTAAATAAATGTAGATGTTTTTTTCTTCCTGCAATCACCTTTCTTATCTTTAACCCTCAATGTGAATAACATATAGGTTACCGTTTAAGGTCGATCATCGATGTCATAGCCATGCTTATATATGAATGTTATTCAAACGTTTTGTTGCGATGATTATTGACTAAGTGGGTGTTTACTTTTCATTTTGAAACGCAATTCTTTCATCTCTCCACGTTTACATACGGATATACGTAGAAGCAGCTATTCATTGCTTCAAGTTGAACGTGAAAAATCACGTTAAAACGCGGATGCAAACACACGGTAAATGTACTGAAAATAACATAATTGTATAAATCTTATTTCTTATGTATTGAATCCTCACTTGTAATATTGTAATCTTTAATAAAATTTAATAAATAAGAAGGGATACGCTAAATTATATGTTAGTATGACTCCTTCCCACATCATATAAGTTAAAAAATTGGAAAATATGGGAAGGCTTCCCATATAGGAAAATACAATGCAGTTCTTCTCATCAAAACCAACAACATTTTACCAAATATATTATAGATTTGTAAAAAATCAGCAGCTTGTTGAAATTTTTAGCTTCTGTTTAAATTCATAATGCATTTTACATTACTTTTAAAATGGTCGATCGCTTACATATTATAACAATCGTGTTTATTTTACATAAACAGGCATATGTTTGCACGAAAAGGAAAGAAAATAAAATTGCGATAAGATCAATAAATTTGCAAGAATCCTTTTTTTCTTTTTATCTAATAGATGCGAACATTAAATTAAAACGATTGAATAACAGTATTATAATAAAAATTTAAAGTTCTTATTATCATTAATATTAAACTAATAAGAAAAATGTACTTCGTGTCCCCATAACAAAATGAAATAAATTAGTGTTAAACAAAAGTGGATATTTATTATTAATGAAGATGGTTATTTCTTTTGTACATATATTTTTTCTATCTTGTCTTTAAATATAATTTAGGGAGAAGAAAAATAAAATACAACATAAGAGTATAATTATTTTTGAAAAAGTGGACACCAAAAATAAATATTTTCTATATTTATTTAATAGGATCAAGATATTTTGTGTCTTTATATTTATTTAAAAATATTTAAAAATTATTAATATTTATTAAATTAATTAATATGTGTTTAGTCTTTAAATCTTAAGGTCTTGAATTCAATCTTGAGTTTAATTAATTTTTAATATTATTTTTTATTATTTAAAAATTTAAAAGTAAAGTAATTTAAAATTTGTGTTGAAAAAAGGATGTCCCCTTTATATTTTATAATAAAAAATACCAAGTCTAACTGAATTGACCCAATTTTCAAATGTTAAACAGTACGTGTCCATGTGTTGGTCTGCAACCCATACCCACTGTTATTTAAAAAGTAAAAGGGCTCATTTGCAGTCCGAATTTAGTTTTATTTTTGAATCCAGGTCCAAGTTTAATATTTCAAGTCCATTTCCTAATGTCTTAAATTCAAGATGGGCCACATTTTGAGACCAGGGTTACCGTTATTCGAATCTGTATAATTCTGTTAACTATGAGAATAATTTATATCCTAACATAATATTATTTTTATTTATTAATAATCTATTATATCTATTATATATATATAAATGGAATACACTAGAAAATTTACATAATCAGATTTTTTTATATTACGCTACAAGTAAAAATTGATGATATTGAAGTATTTTAACTCTTAATTTTTAAATTTTTTAACTTAAAAATAAAATTTGTTTGAAATTTTCACTAAAATTATAATAAAAAATATATTTTATTTTATAACTAAATTCATAATCTAAATTCTAAACCGTCTATTTGCTTCCTTTAAAGTCATCACCATTCTCAAATTATGTCACTATTCTCTAATTTATTGTTATTTTTTTTCTCACCATCTCACACAAAATGGCTTCTTGAATAAGTTTCTTTTAGATATAATTTTTCCCCTATTTTTCTTGTTACGTATTCTCTCGATTTTCTTTATTTTCAATCTTTTAATTTATTTATTTTCATCTTCATCTCCATGTTTATCTTATATTCACATTTATGTGTATTTTATTCTCTACACATTGTACAATCACACAAATAAGTTTGCGTTTGGTAGTTTTACCATTTATTCTTTGTTCTTCTCAATTCTTTGACGGAGTTTAATGAGGATTTCTATTTGGTTGTTTTATGAATTGACTGGTTTAATACAAAGACAAAATATCCTTGTATGTTCTTCCCTTATTGAAAGGCATATTTCCTCATCTCCCCCCCCCCCCCCCCCCCGAGATACTAACTATCTAACTGTAACAATAAAATCAAAAAATGCATAATAAAGCTAATCATTTAAATTTTGATAAAATATTTACTTTGATAGTTAAATGTGTTAATAATTTTATTTCTTCTAAGTTTTTTCCCTAATTAAAAAATGCATGATAAAGTTAATCTTTTAAACTTTAATAAAGTACATGTTTAATTTGATAGCTAAATATGTTAACTACAAAATGAATAATTTATGACTAATTGCGTGATAGTTAAATTTTAAATATACCAGTTACAAAAGTAATCATCAAAATAATTACAAGATCTGTAAATAATTTTCGCTAAAAGATTATTTTAAATAGAGTTAATCACCTATACATTATTAGTGGAAAGTTTTTTTACACTAGCAACCAATTATATCTTTTAATTGTGTCATGTCACTATAAACACATTTACTTTTAACAGTGACATGACACAATTAAAAGATATAATTGGTTGTCAGTGTAAAAAAACTTTACATAAACAGTGTATAGGTGATTACTAAATTTACATTGTTAGACATCTCTATATTATGTTACTAGTAAAACTTGGAATTACTAAAATTCTTTTAGTAACATTTGTTTTCTTTTTCTTCTTCTTTTTTTTTATAGTTTTTTTTAATATTTTTTAATAAAATTTAACACCAACTAGACAATATCATAAATTTACTTTAAAAATATCTTAACTAATGGTTATTCAAAGGTTTGAAAATAGACCATATTGAAAATAAATTGAAGTTAAATTGTAATTATGTGACTACAAAATCAATTATTAATTTTTTTAAAAAAAATTTATGCATAAAAATTTTATTTTATTTTATTATTATAGCTTATATCATGTCATCCAAATAATTACTTTAATACAAATTTTATAATATTGTGTGTGAAATAAAGTAACAAATTTATGCTATTAGACTTATCCATGTTATGTCAAGGTAAAAATTAGGATTATTTAAGTGTTTTTAGTAACATTTATTTTTTAAAATTTTAATTTTAATTCTATTTTAATAAAATTTAACACCAACAAGATAATATTATAAATAAAAATAAAATATTATTATTGTTCTTACAAGAATGAGGTTGGTTCTTCGCCTAGAGAGGTTGCCTCCTTCTTCTTCATCTCGGTCTTATTCTTGTAAGGGATTAAGTGAAGTCGGTCTTCAAGATTAGTCTTCTCGGTTGATCTTCTCCTCACGCACCTTGGATGTACCTGCAAAAAGGATTCCGACGATCAAGTTAGTTATCCTCCTCTATCTCATGTATTCCTTATATCTTTACCTATGGTGGTTCTCCGAGTAACTATGTAACTGTCGTACAGTTATCTTCTGAGGATTGTTGGCGGTTGAATTGTATTCGATATCGTCAATATGCCGAGATATCTTGCTAATATCTTCTGTCTGATGTGATATACCAGCGTTTCATGTATTTACTCTAGCTTGTCTAAGTAATCACCTCGGTCAAGTTAACCTATAAACTTAGTTAAGCTCAGCTCAAGCCAGGTTGGTACAATTATTATTATCGACACCTAATAAGTATGTGATAAACTAACTTCAGAAATACCTCAAATAATATATACTTAAAGATATGGAGTCAAGTTGTATTAAATATAAGTCGGAATCAAAATTTTGTGACTCTTAATACTACGCTCATGATCATATTCATTTTAAGAAAATAATAACCCTGAGGTACAAGATATGATATTTTTTTTTTCGAAGCATAAAATTAAAAGCTTTTAACTCATGCTTATTATTTTCCTAAACACGAATATGGTGTATAATATAGTATTTAACAATTATGAACAAAGTTTACCCCCAAAATTACAGTGTTATCACACAAAAAAAATAGAAATTTTCATTTCATTATAAAAACATAATTATTCATTTCTCATAATGAAATAAATCCAAACAGATTAAAAGTAGTTTTCCAGATTTGACGGTATTCAAAAGGAGCTAGCTTCAGATCTGAATAAGATATAAAGAAAATGTATAAAGCTATCGCATGACCATTTGATAATATCCTTATATAGTTATTAGCTTGAAATATGATTTTGATTTATTTTTTGTTAGACATTTGACAGTTTATTTTATTTAACTTGCAGTTGCAGGAAGAGTCTCAGAAAATTCTCTGACAACAATTCTAAAAGTACAACATCTATTTTGACACGAGTTACAATCAAATCTATACACGTTTGTTTACATAGGAACAAATAAAAAATACAAGAGCAGAATTGCTGACACAAACACCATCAAAACATGAGAAGTAGAGAAAAAGAGAACAATACACAGAGGAAGCAGATGACGAGGTTCAGGCTTTCCCTTCAACCCTTGCATGAGTGAGGCCAACGCAAGCGTCAACGAAATCCTCGTCTATAAAATCCGTGGAGAAGGCCTGGAGCCTATCGGCGAAGCCCTTAGCGAAGCACTGAGCGATGAAGAGCCTAGCGTAGCCATGAATGCGCCGAGTAACGGGTTTGACACAGAGAACGGGGTTATCCGCGACGGGCGTAACGGTGTTCTCGATCCTGTAGAAGTATTTGCGCGACGTAACAGGAGCCTGCTCGCTCAAGTGCTTCAGATTGCCGTCGAACTTGGTGGAAGGCAGATCCGTGTTGATCCAGTTGTCCTTCAGAAAGCCCGCGCTCCAAAGCCCGCTTCCAGCTTTGGGCTGGGCCGCTTTTCTGGGCTTCCACACGCAGATAAGCCTCTTGGGCAAAACCTCCGCAACGGTCTTACCGAAAACGTGGTCGTCCTGCGGAATTAAAAACTCTCCCAACTGCTCCTCCAAGTACTTGTCGAATTCCGGCGGGTCCTCGTGGCCAAACTCGGTTCTAATCTCGAGGATTATGACCTCGGACTGTGTCTCCGACAGGAACTTCTTGACGTCGTTGAGTACGACGTCGACGCTGTAAGTGGCGAGGATGCCGTGGCAGACGCGGCGGTTTTCTTGGATGCGGATATCGAGGAGGCGGGTGCCGAGTGCCAGCTGGCGGTAAATGGAGAGAGATTGGCACTGAGCGAAAGGGCGAGTCACGAGAGGGATGCCGATTTTGTTGGTGGCGGAGTCGTGGGTTCCTGGCCACACGATCTGGTTGATGCGGAGTTTCTCCGGGTTCAGACCCGCCATCCAGTTTTTCCTGTCTTGGGGGCGGTATTCGGAGCCTGGGTAGTCTTCTCCGGAGGTTTTCAGATCCCACAGGGTTTTCTTTTGAGTGTGGATTTGGTTTCTTCGTTCCATCTGTTTAGAGACCTGAGAACCCATCTTCGCTCTTCGGAGTACCACCTCTTCTCCTCAACTCTTTCCTTCTGCTGGAGACTGGAGTAGGTTGTTGACGTTTCACAGCTCAACTAATCACGATACATGATGACCATATATATTATCTATACAGATACAAGTTTATGCCAAGAGGTTATTAATTGTTTTTATTTCTTCTCTTTCATTTTAAGCCACCATGACAACTGTAGATCAAGAATGGGAAAGTCAAAATAGATTTTATTAAAAATTGTAAATAAAAGGCTTGAAAAGAGGACAATTGTTGTGAAATCATGATATCATGACTTGGGTGTTTTCTTCACACAATTTTTCTTTGGATATCTTGAAGGATTTTGATTTGGGATGGGAATGGCCCCTCTGTTAATTATCTTTTATAATGTGGAGAGCCATCGTCCTCATTAGTCATTATTGATGGTGACTCATCTTTCTAATTGGTCCACTTGTATATGTCGAGCTGTACAAACTTTTTTGTCTTCGTCTTTGTTTTGGTTTATTTATTAAGCTCTCTTGCAGGTGAAATTGTTAGAGTAATTCTATTCACTAAAATTCTTAAACAACTTTGGAATTTGTTTTTCATAATTAAGAATTAAGATTTCATCATCAATTTAAACATAAAGTTATGATTTGAAGAATCATTTTATTTTTATAAGAGTAGATTTGGTAAAAAAAAAAATTATATCTCTTTATAAAAAATGATTTTATTAATAAAATCTTAAGATCTTGCATTAAATATCAATAAATAATTTTAATAGATTAGTTATATATATATATATATATATATATATCCTAGCCGAAAGAGAAAAAAAAAATTATAATAACCATTAGACAAAAATGATCTCTTATGCAATGTATCATGATAAAAAAATGTAAAATATCTCATATTTAATGATATTTTTAAGCAAACAACAATAATGTTTTACAAACTTGATTATTTTAAAATACACAAATAGTATAATTTGTATTCCAATTAAAAAAAACAAGTGTATATACATTAACAGATGTTAATAGAATTGTTTAATGTATATTTATGTATTTTTTTAATTAGAGATTATTAGTAACTAGTAAGTTATAATTATAATTATTTTAGAATACACTAATAATGTAGGGTGTATCATACTTCAATTAAAAAAGTGTTTGAATCTATATAACAAAATATCATATATGATTTTTAAATTTTTAAAAATTTGTAGACTTGATTTATACATTAAAAAATTTTAATTTAATAGTTTGACCATTGAAATTCAAGATACACTATGAGTTATTAAGTGAAGTAACTTTACCAAAAGTTACTCTTGGAGTTAATGGATCTTTTCTCTATCTATAGAAGAGAGATCCATTTACTTCAAGAGTAAATTTACTTATACTTACTTCATTCAATAAATCATGTTCTAAATCAAATTTAAATGATCTAACAATTAAATTAAAAGTTCTTAATGCATAGAACAATTATGCAAAGTTTTAAGAAATTTAAAAATTATTTGATACTTGATTTCATTAATTCAAATCAACGTATAAAATACTTTTATGATTATCTGTCAATTTAAATTGATGAAACAGAGTGTCAAGTAGCTTTCATTTTTTAAAAATTTATATACTTGATTTATACTTTAAGAACTTTTAATTAAGCGGTTGAATTATTGAAATTTGATGTTAAATTTGAGCTATGAGTAGGGTAAATTTAGATAGACTTATTTTTGGAGTAAGTGAACCCCTCGTTATATGTGTGTGTGTGTGTGTGTGTATATATGTTGGGTGTGACACTTTGCATTTGGTAGTGTGAGCATAGTGTTTTATAGTGGTGGTGAATAAAGTTTTGTCCTAACCAACTTTTCTCTTCTCTTTCTCCTTTCCAAGTGTTGTAGAGGTTATTAGTGAAGCTCCAGAGGGGAGGAATCAAGTTGAAATGACTTTGAGCAGGTTGTTGTGAGTGTTGGTGCAAAATTTCTCAAAATCGTCTCCTTCTTTCCTTTCTTCATTTTTGGAAGCTCAGAATTAAGGTAAAGGAAGTTAGGATTGGCCTTGGATGGTTGATTTGTGGTGTTGCATGTTGTATTTATGATTCATTAAGAGTGTATAGTAGAAGTTTTCAAATTTTGCATGATGAAGGGGTGGGTTTAGTTCTTCTTAGAATGGCTAAGATGTTTTTGATGATCCTAATTAATTTCTCATTGCATGTTCAAATTTCCTCCCATTTTGGATTGTATGTGGTTAGTTGGTGATACACGATGGATTGCACGTTGAAATTTGAATCTAGGGTGCAAGGTTTTTTATTTGTAAGTTGTATTTTTCAAAGTGATAACTGTTTGTGCGATTTTGCAGATTTCTGGGCTTGCTCGCTCAAAACGCCTACATGGGTCATTCAAAGTGAGAGGGTGTGACTAGGTTAGGGTAGTCTTTTACTTGGCTTGCTTAGAGTAGATTGTGAACGCTTTGAGTGAGTTTTGTCACCTAGAGCGAGGATAATGTCACTTGAAGTGACCAAATTGAAGCTCCCAGGGGTGCCCTTTATCTAGGCTCTCTCTAAGTGAGTTTTGTGGAGCTTAGAGTGAAATTGCATCGCTCAAGGTGAGGCTTGGGGTGCTTGAAGTGCTTGGTTCCCTCTTTGTTGTATAAATTGAATGTTTGAATGAAAGTTTAATTTAATACCTTGTACGTTGATTGTACATTGATTTGGGATAATTCTGATAATGATTTAATTTGATAATTAAATATTGTAATGTGAATATGAATTAAGTGCTTGAATCTACTGCATATTGTATGATGTAGAATGATGATAATAAGCATTAGTATGCTATACTTGTATGGTGGAGCCCTTGATAAGCATTGATATGCTACACTTTGTATGCTTGAATTGTTGTTGAGCATTGATGTTACAATTGTATGGTTGTAGAGTTGAATAAGCATTAATATGTTATACTTGTAGAGTTGAATAATGCAGGCAAAGGTCTTGAGGTGCCTATATCCAATTATATTAGTCCTAATGGTAGAACCAAACTTTTATAGTGTAAGTGACGACACCTAAGAAATCAGAGGAATGATTGATATCTCATTTTAGTTGTGGATCCAATAGGCGCGTATGGCATGAAAGTGGTCAGTGTTGATTTTGTAGGGTCAAGCCATTTAAATTACTCAAGTGAATTACAAGATTTTTGTAGGTAAATGTCTGATGGCGCATTAGTTGATATGTATGTATATGATGTGTCGTTGATTGGTGTATTCATATGCATTGGATGAATATCTTATTATATGATATGACTTGATGTGAGTTTGGCTACTTGATGTGTAAGTTTCAAACAGTTGATGTTTGCTTGATGGTTGTATGAGGTGTGTCATGAAGAACTGGTTTGATGGTTTACTTGTTGATGAGTAGTATAGATTTTTTTTTCTATACTTGTATTTTTTTAAATCTAACATACCCTTACATGTTTTTCATGTAATTTGGATCACAATGATCATAATTTTCATGGGAGTAGGGAAGGGTTAGCCAAAGTGAGCTTTGAGAGATGTTATAGGTTCATGTTGGTGATGTCGTCGATGACTACTCATTTCGTTGATTCATATAGACATTACTTGACCACTAAGTTAGGTTTTATACTATGTTTTATTAAATGACTGTACATATACTATATATATACATATATATATATATATATATATATATATATATTTATAGAATTATTTTTAGTTGTACTCATACTTATATACATGTTATAGTGTGCATATCCGTGCAGAGCGAGTATAAAACCTTAAGTATGTTAATAACCCTGTTGCTAGTTGATGATTTCATGAAGTGTAGAGGTCATGACAAATCATTATATTGGAAAAAAAAACTTTTTTTCTTTACATACAACAATGAGGAAACACAAAAAGAAACATCATAAGAGAAATAGAAAAATCAAATCATTTAACGTAATTTAGCTCTTCATGCACACGTCTACAATATCTTTATTATCTACAAATATATTACATATATTTGAGAAATCTTCCCTTTGAGTTTTATAAATTAAAACTTGAAAACTCTCCTCACAAGTTTTAAGACGAACAAAACTTGAAAACCTTCAACGCAACTTTTATAACTCATGAAACTTAAAAACCTTTCACAGAAATTTTATGATAGACGAAATTTGAAAACTCTCAACACCAATTTTATGATAGATATAACTTGAAAAATCGTCCTTACAAATTTTATGGTGAAACTTGGTAAAATCTCATTCATATGACCTCTCTCTCATTTAGGATGATGAGTGATAACTCCTCTATAAGTCAAATGATTCTTTTTATTTAAAGAACTTTTATTTATTGACTTAACATTCTAATTTTAAAAGAGAAAATAAATTCATAAAATAATTACAATTTTATAGACAAATAATATCATTTTATATTTAAGAAATATCTTAAAAAATTAAAATTAAACATTTGAATATTTTTCAACAATATATATGTTAGTTAGCATAAAATTAGTTTCATAGATTATTATTACAATAATGATTAAGATCGATTAGTATAAAATTAATTATATTTTTTATATTAAAATTATAATAATGACATCAAAATTTAATTTAAGACTATGTGAACTATCAATAAAGGTTATTATTGTTAAAAATAAAAATTAGTAATAATAATTCATGTTATTATTATAATATTGGTGAAGGCCATCATGATTTAAAATAAAAATTAGTTTCAATTCCATGTATAGAACTAGAAAATATTTTTTTGGCAAATATTATATGTAAATACTTATTTATTAAAAGTTAAATATTTAAGAAAATAAAAAAAAGAAAAAAAAATCACCCTCCTTTTAATTAATTTGTAGATTTGTCTATTAAAAAAAATTATAATTATTATTGCATATATCGACCGATACTATAAGTGAGTACTAATAGATAGTAAATACGTAGTTAGGTTTTAGAAGAGTTTTTCATAGAATGCGGGATATTGAAGAGCAATTCAAAGAGACCATATATCAATTAGACATGTGGATAGCTTGGAGAATTTCATCTAGAGTTTGACAGATTTATCTCCAGTTTCACAATGATTGAAGTTTTAAGTTTTAATATTGATATTTCAAAATGAATGATGTTTTGATGTTGTTATATTTTAATATAATATTAATTATATTTTTTTAACTTGTTATTTTATAGATTATTTAAATTTTATAATTAAAAATAAAACATTTATTTAAATATTAAATTATTTTAAAAACTTATATATATATATATATATATATATATAGTTTTATTTTGAATTTATATATAAG